ATGCTGCCTAATTTTAGAATGGAATTTAATAGGGCTGGTGACAAAATCTTGCATAATTGTCCCCACATGATGATCTTAGGACACTTTACATGTGAAGGATCCCGTGGCATCAAACATGGGTTTAGAGCTCAGAGGATTTGGGTCTTTGGTGTTTCAGGGCAAAATTTTCTGGATTTTTATTGAGTTGAAAAAGTCAAAATCCCCCCAGGTGGGTGAAAGCAGAAAGGTAAAAAACCAACAATGTGATTTTATGTCTCACTTTTAAATGGACCCAGATCTACGGGTGGTTTTCCCCCCACCCCTTCCTAACAAGTATTTGGATGAGTCAAACAAGAGAAGATTAAAAGTTGGGCAAACCCCACGTCCCAACCAGTGCTGGAACCGTCCTCTCCCCGTGCTTAATTTAGGGCCTGATCCTATCAAAAAAAATGCCATGAACAGGTTATGGGGAGGAAGCCAAGGACCTCCTCGGAGTTGCCTCATGCACGAGGTTCTACGTGCTTGGAGTTTCGCCATCGGGGCAGGAGCCAGGTAAACAACCTTTCACTGCCAGGTCACGCTGTAAATAATAATCAGTCGGAAATCCCCCAGGAGATTGGCAGATCTCCTCAATGAGGCTCGTAGGGGGCTCTGTGGGGTGGGAAGAGCAACTCCAGAAAGAGCCAGGATCCCAGAATTAAGAGCAGAATCCCAAAATTCTGGAGTAGTTGGGGTTGGGAGGGAGATCTCCTGAGGAAGCAGGAAATCTCTCCTGAGATCTTCCAGGTGGGGTTGGGATGTCTCTGCAAGGGGAGACCCCACTCCTTCCTCTGCCTTCTCTGTGGAAATAAATCCTCCCTCATACTGAGGTGGAATTGGGGTTTGGTTTACCCTTATCCTGTCATTGGACATCACTTGGGAAGAGGCTGGCACCACCTGAACTCCCCTGGTTGAAAGTGATGTATTTTTATTGTATTAACATAAAATTTACATTTAAATTTGGTGTAAAATACACATGAAAAATGTCCTTTGTGTTGTGGAGATTCCTTGAGGGACCCACTTGCATTTTGAGTGAAGGAGCCAGAAATGAAAAAAACCATCCCAATAATGAAATTACCCACAGACCGTGAAATTTTATTTTCCAACCCTTGATCTAGAGGAGATGGAGAAAAGAACCTTTTCCCATCACCACAGCACAAACCCCTTTTTCCAGCAACTCCTGGGGAATTTTGTCAGCACAGCCCTACGTGAAGAATGCGGAGCTCTCTGATGTAATGGCACCATTGAGGGGGGCAAAATTCCACTTTGGCATATCCAAGGACACTTTTGGGATGTGGGAGAGGCTGGGCCACTCATTTCTTCTGGATGGGTGGCCAGTGGGTGCTCTGCTTGCACTGCTCGCTCTTGATGGTGGGGATGACCACAGGGCATTTCTGCTGCACCACCTGGGCACATCCTGCGCCTGCAGGGCTGATCTCTGGCCCGGGCAACATCCCAGTTCCATATGTTCCATATGTCCCATATGTCCCATATGTCCCATATCCATACCCTCCTCCGTAGTACCCTGATCCCTCAGAGACCCCCCCAGTGCTTAGGGTGCCACTCAGGGGTGCAGAGTATCCATACCCAGCCCCTGCTCCCTCCACCACTCCCGAACTCCCTCCATGGTAAATGGATCCTCCACCTCCCCCTGCACTGCTGATAACTGACCCCACATCCTCACCACCGTACTCCATCCCCATTCCAGAGCCATAAACCGGGACTGTCCTCACCACGGGGTCCCAGCTAGATGTGACCCCACAGTCCCCACTGCTGACCACGAGGGACCCGTCGGTGTCACACGAGAACCTCCCTGAGATGCTGTAGGGGGCTGGCGCTGGCAGGGGCGGGCAGGATGAGGGTCTCCGGCTGTAGGTGACGGAACTGTCCCCGCCACACGAGAAGGAGGCGCGGCCGTGGCGGTTGGTGAAGGCGCCCGAGCAGAAGCCGTGGTGGCTCAGGGAGATTTCCCGGCTGTAGCCGCGGTTCCGCCGTGACCATTTGCGCCGCAGACAGTGGTAGAGCTGGAAGCGGAAAGGAAAACATCCCTGATGGTAAAACTGGGAGAGGAAAGGAAAATACACCCGGTGGAAAAGCTGGAAGAGGAAAGGAAAACAAACACCCCCAGTGGTGAAGCTGGAAGATGAAAATAAAATACCCCAGTGGTAGAGCTGGAAGAGGAAAGGAAAACATCCCTGGTGGTAAAATTGGAAGAGGAAAGGAAAACACCCCAGTGGTGAAGCTGGAAGAGGGAAGGAAAACACTCCCAAACTTGCAGGGTTTTTATTTTTGCTGGCGCCAAGGCAGGTGGGGACCTGCCAGGCAATGTGGCAGTTCCAGACTTTGAAACTGAGCTGGTAGAGAATCATGGAATTGTGGAGTGGTTTGGGTTGGAAAGGACCTTAAAGCTCATCCAGTGTCACCCCCTACCATGGGCATGGACACCTTCTGCTAGATCAGTTTGCTCCAAGCCCCAAATCCAAGGATATCTGGGCTCTTCCTGGGATAGCTTTCCTCTTTCTACCTTTAATTCCACTGAATCCAAAAGCTAAAATATGTTCTGAGTCCAAAAGCTGAAATATAAAATCTGAAATGCATTATTTTCCCCTCTCGTAACTGCCATGGTTTCCCCCACTCATTTTTACATCCACAGAACTGCAAAAACATTGAGGATCATCCTTGCTTCTGTTCCTCAGTTGTTGTTTGATGGATCAAGGTTTCTACCCTGGGTCTGTTACTGCAGCCCCAAAATTCTTTTATAGAAGGTGACTGGCCCAGCCACAGAGGCTCATGGCCGTTCTGAGGTCCAGCTATTATTAAATAATATAAAAATATGTCCTGTACATTCAAACCCACCAAGGTTGTGCTGTGCCCACGTGCCGACCCCACCACAGACACATCTTGGCTTTTTACCCTGCTCATCTCTCTGCATCCTGCTCTGGTGCCTTGATTTCACCTTTCTCTGCAGGGATTGGACCCAAAATGGAGCTGGAGCTCACCCAAATCCCAAGGATTTGGCTCAGGCAGATGGGTCCTGCTTCCAGCACAAGCCAAGGTATCAAATCAGCCTCATCCCATGACTAGGAAAGGATAAAATCCCAGAAAAAAAAGAGACTTACCCTCTTCAGCCATCGGAAACACATTTAGAAGGTAAAGGTCAACTGAATGAGACGCCTTAACAGCCTCGGGAACATTTATATGGCGTTTAACATGTAAGGGAAGTGAGACACCCTCGGGAATGAGAAGGATTTATTTACCAAACTGCGATTCCAGTGTTTGCTTTGACTCCCGATCCATATCTCCCTTCACACCGCTCATTTCGCCACTGTAATTGTTACTTCTGTGTAACGAGCCCATTCCTGCGCCCCTGCCCTGGGCTATACAGGAATCCTCTGGCCCCCAACCCCAGGAGAGGTGGGTGGGGATGTGGGTGTACGAAAACGCACATCGAGAGCAAGGACAGTGGGGAGGAACAGCTCCCAAAGCTCTGGTGACAACCTGATCCCTCCCAGGTGGCTCCAGGGGGAACTTTTTTTTCCGAGGAAAACATTTGCATATGAGCCAGAAGTTCGTTCAAAGTGATTGATGCCCGAAGTGGGAATTTTGCAAGAGTGCTCAAAGAGAGCTTAAAAAAGGCAGAATTTTCGGAGGTGTGAATGTACGCATGCTTAAACCCAGCCTGGCTGGATTACACTTTAATGAAGGATTATGCCTGCACATCCCTTCCTTCCTTCTTTTTCGTCTCCTTCCTCTGGTTTGGAAACAGCAGTGGGGCCACATAGCAACTCCTGGAGGCTGAACCGGCTTCAGAAAATTCTGCTGTGGTGACAAAAAGCCCCAGTTTTGGCCAAAATCCCATCCCCAGGCAGAAATCCATGTGTGGGGCTGTGGGGCTGCCAGGACAGGGTGCAAAGCATGGGGAGAGGGGGATTTTTGAGGCCGGGAGGAAGATTTGCAGCAGCCTGAGGGATTTGATGCTGGTTTTATTCCCGCCTTCCTGGCCTGGGGCAGGGTTGGCTGGTTTGAAGGTGAGGCTTCCCTCTGGGTACAGATCATGGAATTCCAGAATCCTTGAGGTTGGAAAAGCCCTCCCAGACCATCAATTCCAGCCTGCCCCTGCTTTGTCAGCCAACCCAGAGCACTGAGTGCCCTGTCCAGTCTTTCCTTGGGCACCTCCAGGGGTGGGGACTCCAAACCTCCAAGGCTTGCTCCTTCCTTGAACACTTCCAGGGATGGGGGCTCCAAACCTCCCTGGGCAGCCCCATCCAAGACCTGACCATGTTTCCATGAGGAAATTCCTCCTGGTGTCCACCCTGAGCCTCCTCTGGCACAGCCTGAGGGTGTTTCCTCAGCTTGCTGGAGGAAAAGAGAGGATGGCAAAGCTGTGGATGTTTACATGGATGTTTTATTGCCCACCTGCTGCTCTTGGGTCATCCCCAATCCCTGCTCTTCCTCACCAAGCCTGGTGGGCCTGGTCACATCTCCCATCAGGTCCACAGAGGTGGTCATTGTGTGCTGGCACCTCAGAGGACACAGAGGGCGTGCACAAAAAGGTGTTGATGCTGTGGTTCCTTTGAATTTTGGGGTCTTCTGTTCCTCCCTCACAGAGTCCAGGTGGAAAATGAAGGTGCAAAACCTCTGAGACAATAAACCAGGTGGCTTTGGAGTGAAACATCTCATCAGAGACATTTCCACATCCCAAGACCACGAAGTGTGGGTTGGTGGTGCAAGGAAGAAATAAACTCCCAAAAAAAGGACAGGTTTGAGCAATTGTAACATTTATTGGGTGTAAAAAGTGGCAGAACATTATCAAACCACAACACCAGGAGCAGGGCACAGCAGGGCAATCCTGGAGATATCACATGAGGGTCCAGGGAACAGGGACAGGAGAGAACATGCTGGGAAGGACCAGGCAGCAGTTCCAGGACTGGAGGCAAGGAGGAGCCATGGAAGAGACTCAGAACTGGAGCTGGCTGAGGTTGTTACTTCTGCTGGCCATAGGGCCAATAGGAGCTCTGCTTGCTCTGGTGGGACACCACGCTGGGGATGACAATGGGACATTTCTGCTGCGAGGAGCCTCCGCTGCCACCTCCAGAGCTGATGATGATGGTCTGGCCTGAGGAGCCACCGCCGTATCCTCCTCCCATCCCATAGCTGGATCCTCCACTGCAGCATCCAGAGGATCCACCATATTCTCCACCTCCAATGATGGTCTGCCCTCCTGAGGAGCCACCACTGTACCCTCCTCCCATGCCATAGCCTGAAGATCCTCCACCACAGTATCCAGAGGAACCTCCACCTACAATGATGGTCTTTGATCCTGAAGATCCACCATATCCTCCACCCATTCCATAGCTGGATCCTCCACTGCAGCATCCAGAGGAACCTCCACTGCTTCCCCCTCCAATGATGGTCTTTGATCCTGAAGATCCACCATATCCTCCACCCATTCCATAGCTGGATCCTCCACTGCAGCATCCAGAGGAACCTCCACTGCTCCCCCCTCCAATGATGGTCTTTGATCCTGAAGATCCACCATATCCTCCACCCATTCCATAGCTGGATCCTCCACCACAGTATCCAGAGGAACCTCCACTACCTCCACCTACAATGATGGTTTTTGATCCTGAGGATCCACCACCGTACCCTCCGCCCATCCCATAGCTGGATCCTCCACTGCAGCATCCAGAGGAACCTCCACTGCTTCCCCCTCCAATGATGGTCTTTGATCCTGAAGATCCACCATATCCTCCACCCATCCCATAGCTGGATCCTCCACTGCAACATCCAGAGGAACCTCCACTACCTCCGCCTACTATGATGCTCTTTGATCCTGAAGATCCACCATATCCTCCACCCATCCCATAGCTGGATCCTCCACTGCAACATCCAGAGGAACCTCCACTGCTTCCCCCTCCAATGATGGTCTTTGATCCTGAAGATCCACCATATCCTCCACCCATTCCATAGCTGCCCCCACTACAGCATCCAGAGGAACCTCCACTACCTCCACCTACAATGATGCTCTTCGATCCTGAAGATCCACCACCATATCCCCCTCCCATCCCATATCCAGAGGATCCCCCACTGCAGCAGGATCCGCCTCCTCCACCACCAGAGCTGATGATGACTTTGCCGGAGCCCTCTCCGCCCCCGCAGCAGGAGGAGCCTTGGGATTGGTAACTGGAGGAGCTGTGGCAACCAGAGCCCTGGCTGTGGCACCCACTGGACTGGGAGGACATCCCATGGCAGCCTCCGGAGCTTTGTCTGGAGCACATCTTGGAGCAGTGACCCTGCAAGGAACGGAGCTGTCAGAAAGGAGAACCTTGGACATGCAGCTGAGCCTGCCCAGTTCAGGAAGGAAGAATTCCCAGGACTTGTCCCATCTTCTGCAGCCCTACTTGACATTCCCACCCTAAGACCTGCCCTGACATCCCAGGGAGATCTCTGCAGGTCACAACAGTTCCAGGAACCCTCTGCGTGCGGGGAAATTGGAAACACTTCCCGAGGTTTGATCACATGCTCTGACATGCCTCAAAAATGGTGTGGATCCTTCTGGATGTCTCACACTGACTCAGCAGCTCAAAGTTCAGCTTTCAGAGCTCCACCTGCAACACCCCTGTCTAAGGAAGGGAGCTCTGTTGGCACCTCCAGTTGATTTTGGAGCCATCACATTTCCAAGAACACCCAAAGACAAACTGGTGGAGGGATCTCCCTGTGTAGAGGTTTCAGAAGTTTCCGTATCCACGGGCTTACCTTCAGTGCTGGTGGGAATGTGGTGATGCTCGGCGTGGGTTGAATGAGGAGCCCTGGGATGGCTGAGCTTTTATACCAGCTCCACTGTGCTCCCGAGGGAAGTGAGACACCCTAAGGAATGCTGAGAGATTTATTGACAGAACTTGGCCTCAGCTGCCTCCTTCCTTGACTCACCTGCAGCAGAGGAGATGCGAAGGAGGCACATCGGCCCCGTTCTGTATCGCAGCCACTAATTCCGCCTAATGATTCCCTTCCGGGAGCCTCGCTCTGAGTTTTTGGGGCAAATGGCATCTCGGGGTCTGTTTTGGGGGGCCCTGATGTGTTTCTGCTGGGATGGAGCTCTCTGGGTGCTCAGGACAGAGTGGGGACTGAGCAGATGCCAAGTGGAGTGAGTTGGAGCCAGATAGTGACGGAAGGACAAGGATGAAGGATGTGCTTGAGCAGAGTTACAGAGAATTTTGGAGAATTCCCTCAAAGACTGGCAAGACGGGGAGCAGGAGCACATCCATCCTGCTGGAAAAGGCAAGAGGTGCCACCCCAACAGAATTCCCTTCTTTGGAGCTGCCCAGATCTGTGTCAGAGGACGTGACAGTGACAAAGGGGACATTTTCCTCCAGTCTTTTGTGACCCCAAGGTGGAAGCGGCTGTTGGAGTTTCACGGAGGTCTGTGCTCAGCTCCAGCTTCCAGGTGTCTCAGTCTCCAGGCTGGAGTGGGGAAAACCTTGGAATCCTTCCAAGGTTCCAACTTCCTCCATCCTTGGAATCCAAAGTTGCACTTGAAGGCCATCAAGACCTGACCCTTGAACTCCAGGACATTAAACACCTCCTCTACCTCAACAGGACCCATTTCTGAGGGTTTTGGTGGCCACCCCTCCCACACCTGAGCAGGGGAGTCACCTGGATGTGTTCCCTGCTGGAGGATGACAGTTTGTCAGCACAGCTGTCCCAGCACCAGCTCTGTGTCACGCGTGTTTGGAGCCTGACAGCAGCATCCGCCCTCCCGGGACATTGAGTAGAGGAAGGATTAATAGAGGTTCTGGCTGTGGGGACAAGTGACAGCAGCAGCAGGTCCTGGCTGTCATCACCACGAACGTGACTTTGAACACTCACACATGACACCCTTGGGATGGGGACAGGGCCACCAGCAGCAGGGACACACGTGCAGGGGCTTCCTTCGTTCAGCTTTGGAGTCCCTCCCATGGCCTTATCTCTGTTCTCATCTCCAGATCTGAGGTGTCACCGCTGTTCTGGCTCCCAGCTCCGGCGTGTGGGTGTTGTACTCCTGAGCATCTCAACACCTTGATCCCTTCTGTGCCTTCCAACCTGCAGGGACTTGCCCAGATTAGGATTTGGGATTAGCCAGACTCAGGATTAGCAGCTCATTGGCACAGAGGGACACCCAGTGTGAGCAGCCCCTCCTGACCCAGGGATGTGGAAAGGCCGTGGATGTTTTTGGAGGGGTGGTAAGAGGAGCTCCTGCAGATCACAGAGTGTGGAGAGGCCAGGGTGGGACCCGTGGAAGCACTGGATCTGTAGCACATGGATTTGTTTGCCAGAGCTGTAGGAATAGCGTGGCTGGAGTACAGGGTTGGCACTGCCACAACCTCTCCAGGTTAGGGAGAAGTTTGTATGCCTGTGTTGGGTGAAGGAAATGGGGATGTAAAATGCTTCAAGGCCACGTTCTCAGTTTTGTGATGCTCTGCTGGGCCCTTTTTCCTGGAGTCCTGGAACCTTTGAGAAGGGCTGGCAGGTCATGGTGCCTCTTCATCTCCTCACCGCAAACACCTCGTTGGTGGTTGATACAAGAGAAGACAAATCCCTGGCCAAATCCTACCCTGGATCCCTTTTCCCACCAGATTCCCTCATGCACAGTGATGCTGACAATGTAGGGCGTGATCATGGAGAAGAACTCTCCATTTTTTTCTAAAAGGCAGGTATTTGCCAGTCGTGATCCCTCAAGAGTTTCAGTATCCCATGGATTTTTTTGCCAAAGGTGTAGGAAAGGCGTGGCTGGAGCACAGGTTTGGCACTGCCACAACCTCTCCAGGTTAGGGAGAAGTTTGGATGCCTGTGTTGGGTGAAGGGAAATGGGGATGTAAAATGCTTCAGGGTCACAATATCAGTTTTGTGATCTCTGCTGGGGTCTTTTCCCTGCTGTTCTGGAGCCATCAGGAAGGGCTGGCAGATCATGGTGCCTCTTCATCTCCTCACCACAAACACCTCGGTGGTGGTTGATATGAAGGAGGACAAATCCCTGGCCAGATCCTACCCTGGATCCCTTTTCCCACCAGATTCCCTCAGGCACAGTGATGCTGACGATGTGGGGCACAATCCTGGAGAAGAACTCTCCATTTTTCTCCAAAAGGCAGGAATCTGTCAGTTGTGATCCCTCAAGAGTTTCACGGCCGATGATCCCACTAATTCCTGATTTTGTTTCCTCCCTACCAGGTGTGTTTGTGAGGTGAACAAAAACCCTCTGGACTTAAAATTTGCTGGATTCAAGACTAATCCCACCAGTTCCAAAGAGGACTTTGGGAGTCTTCTTTTGAGAGGATTTTCCTGATTTGATAGGAATGCCAACTGTCTGTGGGCTGCATCCAAAGAAGAGCAGTCAGGACGGTGAGGGAGGGGTTTTTCTGCTCTGGTGAGATCCCACTGCGAATGCTGCATCCAGTTCTGGTGTCCTCAGCATAAGAAGGACATGGAATTGTTGGAGCAAGTCCAGAGGAGGCCATGACATTGATAAGAGGACCCCCTCCTCTATGTAGCCAGACTGGGAAGGTTGGGAATGTTCAGACTGGAGGAGAGGAGGTTGGGAATAATCAGCCTGAAGACCTCAGAGCCCCTGCAGGATCTGTAGGAGCTCCAGGGAAGCTGGAGAGGGACTTTTCCTCAGGAACGGCAGGGACAGGACACAGGGAATGGGATCAGGATGAAAGAGGGGAAAATTATGTTGGATATAGGAAAGATCTGCTCTAGCACTGGAGGGTGGAGGACATTTCCCAGCAGAATGTCGTGGATGTTTTACTCTTTTTTTTTTTTTTTTGGGAAGAAAACCCACAAAGGAGAATAGAACCTCACAAACCAGTTCTGTCCGTGCACAGAAATCTTTATTTCCCGTCACATTCATGGCACAGAGGAGCCACCTGGGAGTTCACAGCACAGGGATGCAGCACCAAGGGAACAAAAGGGATGGGGACGTGCTGGGGAAAAACTTGGAGGGCAAAGACTTGGCCGTTCCTGATGGGAGCCAGAGTGTTACTTCTGCTGGCAGGGCCAGCTGGAGCTCTGCTTGGTCTGGTGGGACACCACGCTGGGGATGACAACGGGACATTTCTGCTGCGAGGAGCCTCCACCGCCACCTCCAGAGCTGATGATGATGGTCTGGCCTGAGGAGCCACCACCGGATCCGCCACCGCAGCATCCAGAGGATCCACCACCGCCTCCACCTCCCATGATGATCTTCCCTCCTGAAGAGCCACCACTGGATCCTCCACCGCAGCATCCAGAGGAGCCTCCTCCTCCTCCTCCACCACCAGAGCTGATGATGATCTTCTGGGCTGATCCCCCACTGCCACCGCCAGATCCTCCACCGCAGCATCCACCGGATCCTCCACCGCCTCCACCGCCCATCATGCTCTTTGAGGAGCCACCACCAGATCCACCACCGCAGCATCCACCACCTCCACCACCTCCACCTCCCATGATGACCTTCATCCCAGAAGAGCCACCACCAGATCCTCCACCACAGCATCCACCACCTCCACCACCCATCATGCTCTTTGAGGAGCCACCACTGGATCCTCCACCGCAGCATCCACCACCTCCACCACCTCCACCTCCCATCATGCTCTTTGAGGAACCGCCACTAGATCCGCCACCACAGCATCCACCACCTCCACCTCCCATCATGCTCTTTGAGGAGCCACCACCAGATCCACCACCGCAGCATCCACCACCTCCACCACCTCCACCTCCCATGATGACCTTCATCCCAGAAGAGCCACCACCAGATCCTCCACCACAGCATCCACCACCTCCACCACCCATCATGCTCTTTGAGGAGCCACCACTGGATCCTCCACCGCAGCATCCACCACCTCCACCACCTCCACCTCCCATCATGCTCTTTGAGGAACCGCCACTAGATCCGCCACCACAGCATCCACCACCTCCACCGCCTCCACCTCCCATCATGCTCTTTGAGGAACCGCCACTAGATCCGCCACCGCAGCATCCACCACCTCCACCGCCTCCACCTCCCATTATGATCTTCATCCCAGAAGATCCACCACTAGATCCACCACCGCAGCATCCTCCACCTCCTCCTCCTCCTCCCATCATGCTCTTTGAGGAGCCACCACTGGAGCCTCCGCCACAGCATCCTCCTCCTCCTCCTCCCATCATGCTCTTTGAGGAACCGCCACCGGATCCCCCTCCGCAGCATCCAGAGGAGCCTCCTCCTCCTCCTCCTCCGCCGCCAGAGCTGACAATGATCTTCTGGGCTGATCCTCCGGAGGATCCTCCACCGCAGCAGGATCCGCCTCCTCCCCCGCCTGAGGAGCCCTGGGACTGTTGGCTGCCCCGGCAGCAGCAGCAGCAGCCGCAGCCGTGACACCCGCTTTGTCTGGAGCACATCTTGCAGCAGTGATCCTGCAAGGAAAAGCTTTTTACTCCAGGGCAGCCACCAGTTCTCACGAGGCTTGTGGCCCCACTCCTGCCCAACGCCACTTTGTAGTGGTCAGCATCATCTTTTAAAGATTTTTATCCCAAAGTTGTCCCACCTCCTTATCCCAAAGCCATTCCATGTCCATCTCTATACTGATGAGAGACAACTTTCAGCAGCACGGGCTGATCCTGCTTCTGCTTGGTCTGGTGGGACCAAGGCATCCACAAGACATTTAAATTCACCCCAGCAACTTCCCCGCCCTTGCAGATATTATTCACCAAAACTTTTGCATTTTGGAAGCAGGAAAGGAAGAGAAGAATCCCTCCCTTGGGCAGGCATGGACTTACCCTTGGCGGCTCTGACCACGGACACCTCAAGGCAAAGCTGAGGAATGAAGCACCCTGAGATCCACCAACTTTTATACCGCTTTTCCTGAGTGGGAAGTGAGGCATCCAAAGGAATGGTGATAGGTTTATTTACCAAACAGACTCTCCTCCTCCATCCCACTTGTCCTGACTCACTGGGATGTGGACGATGCCTCTCCCGTGCATCACTTCCTCGGCTGCCCTGCATCCACAGCAGGTCCCACACGTGAGCTCGGCTCCTGTGGTTGAATTCCCATGGTTGAATTCCTTCTGGGGCTCCAGAAGGATTCTCGAGGTTGCCACCCTCCACTCCAGCCGGGAGATGCCGCTGGTGACCAACACCAGAAGGGGCTGAGGAGCCTCATTTTATTGGGTGCTACACACTGGAGGAACAGGGGGGATTTATGGGGTGTCTGTGCGAGGCTGGGAATTGAATTCTGATGATCCTTTGTGGTCCCTTCCACCTCAGGATATTCTGTGACTCCACCATGGAGATTCCCAGGGGAACAGGGATGGGACTGGAATTTCTGGGGCACCACAGGAATCCCTTGTGGCTGTGGGAGAGTTCCCACCACAGCAGCAAAAGGTTGATGGGGATTTTTGTTTGGTTCCCCCACTCAGGAGAGAACAGAGGTCAGGCAGGCCCCACCACTTCAAGTGATGGAGATGGAGAGGTACCAGATCCATCATCCCCCCTGTACAGCAGCATCTCCATGGATATGGACCAAAAGGATGAATTTCTGCTCATTTTGGGCATAACTCTGTCATTTCTGAAGAAGGAACAAGATTTGAGGCTATGCTGTGCCTCCTGCTGTCACCCTGAGAATTTCTGTAATTTGGATCCTGGTTTTCTTGATCCTGAGCCATTTCTGGGTGCAGAAATTTCTGACAGCACCGTTTCCACCCCCCTGAAGTGGGACCCCAAACTCTGGCTTTGCTCTGTGCCAGCAATGTCAGTGTTTGTGCAGGTCCCAGCTGCTGGAATTTTATCACTCCAAATGACTTCCCATAATAAAATCCCAGGAAACTCAACTATTCCAATGGCTGGAGGGGCTCATCTGGATGTGTTTTGAGGTATTTGCCTCACTGAGGTCCCCACGGGGGGCGAGGGCAGAGGGTAGAGGGACAGGAGAAGCCGTTGAGGCCATGGGTCACTCCTGTTTCTCCTGGGACAATTCCAGGCGTCCGTCACCTGCCTCCGGTAGAACAATTCCAAGGTTTAATTCCCTTTCTCTGCTAATTACCGCAGTAGACCACATCAAAGAGATTGCTCCCCACAGGGAAACTCTCTCTGGAGACTCATGCCCAGAGCTGTTCTGGCCCTGTGGGAATGAGGAAATACCAAAGTTTTCCAGCCTGAGCATCCCAGCCCTTGGAAGGGCCTTGCTGGAGTCCCTGATTCCACTGGGGGTTCAGAGCTGGAAAAGTGCTGGAGAACTTAATTTCTCTTCCAGTTGTGAGAGCACCAGGAGCTTCTGCACCACCTCAGGAAGGGCCTGAACTCCTCTCACTCCATACTTACACCTTGAAATCCTTCACAGCTGAATTTTGTCATCTTCTCTCTCTGAACCCACTCAGAACTTTCTTGGGCATCACCAGGATTTTGGTGAGATAGAGAAACCCCAGTGATAAATTCTGTGGTACCTTCTCTGACAGGCAAAAGTCAGGATCATCATCATCAAGATTCATTTAAAAATGACTTGAGAATGTTTAGTGAATCCAAAATCTCTTCTACCACTGGGGTTTCAGTGCAGTTTTGCTCTGGAGCTTTATTGAAACAGCACTGGAATCAAACCAGGGATGGAAATAAAGGGATGATAAATGAAGTTTATTTCCAACCAGGGATGGAAATACAGGGATGATAAATGAAGTTTATTTCCAACCAGGGATGGAAATAAAGCAACCGGGGCCAGAAAATTCAACCACTCACACACAGAATTTTCTAGCATTGCATTTTTTATTTTCTGGTGCATGCACTTGAAAACTGGGGCAGGAACAGGGACACAGAACAACCCTGGCTGGAATTACAGATACACAACACCAGAGGTTCTGCTCAGAACATTCCCAGGGGAAGGGAGAAGATAACAACACAAATAATCTTAAATTGAATAGATGAGGAAATGTCAGGCATCTTCATATCTTGGGCTTCCTTGGTGGCAGAGTCCTTCTGGCAGCCACTACTTGTGCTTGGTCTGCGGTGGCCAGCAGATGGGCTGGGTCTGCTGCTGCATGGACATTCCTCCAGAGCTGGAGGAGCCACCTCCACCACCGCCGCCGATGATGACGACGGGACCTTGGCCCTGGTGGCCTGAGCCTCCTCCACCTCCTCCTCCTCCCCCAATGCACACGGGGCCTTGGCTTTGCTGCCCTGAGCCACCTCCTCCTCCTCCTCCACCCCCACTAATGATGATGGGACCTTGGCCCTGGTGGCCTGAGCCACCACCTCCCCCTCCTCCCATGCCACCCCCACCAATGCAGATGGGACCTTGGCCTTGGTGCCCTGAACCTCCTCCTCCTCCTCCTCCACCACCACCACTTATGATGATGGGACCTTGGCCCTGGTGGCCTGAGCCTCCTCCACCTCCTCCTCCCATGCCACCCCCACCAATGCAGACGGGACCTTGGCCTTGGTGACTTGAGCCACCACCACCACCACCACTAATAATGATGGGACCTTGGCTTTGTTGACCACCACCACCTCCTCCTCCTCCTCCACTGCCACCTCCAATGCAGATGGGACCTTGGCCCTGCTGCCCTGAACCTCCTCCACCTCCTCCACCTCCTCCACCTCCTCCCTTGCCACCACCACCTCCTCCACTAATGATGATGGGACCTTGGCCTTGCTGCCCTGAGCCACCACCACATCCACCTCCTCCTCCACCTCCTCCACCTCCCTTGCCACCACCACCTCCTCCACTAATGATGATGGGACCTTGGCCACCACCACCACATCCACCTCCTCCTCCACCTCCTCCTCCTCCCTTGCCACCACCACCTCCTCCTCCACTAATGATGATGGGACCTTGGCCACCACCACCACCACCTCCACATCCACCTCCTCCTCCTCCTCCCTTGCCACCACCACCTCCTCCTCCACTAATGATGATGGGACCTTGGCCACCACCACCACCACCTCCTCCTCCTCCCTTGCCACCACCACCTCCACCTCCTCCTCCCTTGCCACCACCACCTCCTCCTCCACTAATGATGATGGGACCTTGGCCACCACCACCACCACCTCCTCCTCCTCCTCCCTTGCCACCCCCATCTATGCAGATGGGACCTTGGCTTTGCTGCCCTGAGCCTCCTCCACCACCACCTCCTCCACTAATAATGATGGGACCTTGGCTTTGTTGCCCACCACCACCACCACCACCTCCTCCATCTATGCAGATGGGACCTTGACTTTGCTGGCCACCACCTCCACCACCACCACCGCCTCCTCCACCTATGCAGATGGGACCTTGGCTTTGCTGGCCACCACCACCTCCACCTCCTCCTCCCCCTCCGATGCAGATGGGTACATGGCTCTGGTGGTCAGAACTTCCTCCACCACCTCCACCCCCTCCAATAATGATGGGACCTTGGCTTTGTTGCCCACCACCACCACCTCCTCCTCCTCCTCCTCCAATAATGCAGATGGATCCTTGGCTTTGCTGGCCGCCTCCTCCTCCTCCACCTCCTCCTCCTCCACCTCCACAGGAGGTTGATGCCATGTGAGTCTGATAAATGATCCCACCACCGCCACCGCTGCCACCGCCACCGCCGCAGCAGCCTCCTCCTCCTCCGTGGCAGGACGATCCCTGGCTCTGGTATCCTCCTCCACCGTGGCAGCATCCTCCTCCTCCTCCTCCTCCTCCTCCACCTCCTCCGTGGTGGCAGCAGCAGCCGCAGCCGCCTCCGCCGTGGCACCCTCCGGACTGCTGGGACATCCCTTGGCCATCACCCTTCTGCTGGTGGGATCCCATGGTCTGTGTGATGGGAGTCCTGCAGAAGAGACAAAAAATCCAGGCCTGAAAACTTCCAGAGGGAGGGAAGTTTGTGCTACTGGGTCATCCCATTCCCTTCAAACAGGGAATGGTCTTCTCTTCCCATTTTGCTCCTTCTGCTGCCCCTGACTGATGCAACACTTGTCAGCTTGAGGAATTATTGAATAAACTGAAAACCTGTGAAGTAAAAACTTATTCCATCTACAGAACCTCCTTATCCAGATATAACTGTTCTTTTTTTATCTAGGACAATGATCACACCTTAATTCCCTCTTGCAGCAGATGTGTCACTGCAAGAGGCACATGAGGCTGTGGTACCCCAGAATTACCCTCATCCAAATGTGGTTTGTGGATTGTGAAAGGGCTGCAGTGCTCAGGGACAGGGATTAATATTCCCTGGCTGCAGGAAAGAACCCGGCTCATCATTTGCATAACAATAACTCCGTTGTCCTTTGAAATTCTTCAATCCCGCTTTCAAAGGAGCTCAGTGTTTCATTTCTCCTCCAGAAGGAGAAGGAAGAGGAGCAGCCTGTGAAAAAGTTGTCAGAGATGCAAAAGAAAGGAGGGGAAAAAAAAAGCCCAAAACTTCAGCAGCTCCAGGGCAGCACTTGCAAG